TTTTATTGAAACAGAAGGTCTTTTTCTTGCAGGTCACTTGTGGCCAGCATCACAAAGTAACAGCGCGGGGCAGCAGCCAAGGACGTCCATAAAATATTTAGATGGGGGATGGGGTGGGGGTTTGGGGGGGGACACAATGACCCACTTTTCCGATGTGGGTTTCACATTCATCTCCAAAAACGTCCCATTTGCTCCTGCTGTGCAAATCCAGATGTTACATGTATCATCAAAAAAACGAGGCCCGCCAGTGAGGGTCGAAGGTCATGAGCCACCGGACTCCCACGGTCAGCGCGGGAACTCTGGACTCCCCCAGATTCCGAAATCACTGTTTGGGTGTATCCATGGCAATGAAGGCATCGGCCACCCTGTTCCCAGGGAGATAGAACAACGGGTCTACCCGCTACTGTACGGCTTACTGAGCTTCTGTTACTTACACCACAGAGAAAGAGAGAGAGAGAGAGAGAGAGAGAGAGAGAGAGAGAGAGAGAGAGAGAGAGAGAGAGAGAGAGAGGATTCTGATAGAGATGAAACAGGAGGCAGTCAAAAGGAGAGCTAAAGGGCTGCTATTAGATGTCAGTGGCCTTTGTGTCCGTGTCAATGGGAACAGATTAAAGTATTTGAAATAATCTTACTGGGGCATTAAAGGGGCTCTGGAGGCAAGAGAAAGGAAGACATGGACTGTGAAGGAGGACCAGTCACGTTCTGTAAGAATGGATAGTCTCTCTCTCTCTCTCTCTTTCTCTTTCTCACTCTCCTGTCTATCTCTTTCACTCTCTCACTCTCTTCTGTATCTCTCTCTTTAGCTATTTTACTCTCTCACATTCTCATGTCTCTCCACTCTATCTTCTCTCTCTATACCACCTTTACTCTCTCTTTTCTGTCTCTGTTTTCTCTCTTACTCTCACTTTCTCTTCTCTATCTCTTTCTCTTATACTCTCTCATTCTCTCTTCTGTATCTCTTTTTTGTTTATCTCTTTTACTTTTACCCTCACTTTCCTCTGTATCTTTTTTACTCTCACTCTTTTGTCTGTCTTGCCTCCTCTCTCTCTCTTTTACTTCCTTCTGCATCTATTTTTTTTCTCTCACTTTCTCTTCTCTATTTCTCTCAGTCTGTTTTGCTCTCTCACTCTCCCTTCTGTATATCTGATTCTCTATCTCTCTCCATCTCTCTTCTTTATCTCCCTTGCTTTTTCTTGCTCTCTTTATCTCTCTCTATCTCTCTGTCTGTATCTCTCTATGTCTATCTGTCTTTCTCTCATGCAAGAGGACAGGAGTAATGCACATTTCTGTATGTATATTATTACTGAAGGTATACGTTCTCCCTTACAAATAACTTATATAAATAAATAAAAAAAACATATCACTTCAGCTTTAAACTAGCCTAGATCCTCCACAGTGAGGGTAACATTTGTTCTTTTAACAATCCAATAAGGCATCGTTAGTTGGCTTTATTTTTCCGACATTCCTCCGGTTTTGCTGGAGCGGCCTGTTGCGGTGTCTTATGAGAGGAACCTAATTAGGAAATCACTCTCATTACTCTTCCAGAGGAATTAGCGCTAGCCTGGCTAATTACTGCTGTAAAACCTAATCAGCTCTTTGAAACAAGAGCACGCTAATGAGCTCTTATTTATTCAACTAAAGAACTTCAAGGGGAGACAGAAGCTTGAAATCATATTTTTGATGCATTTGTGTGTGCGTGTGTGTTTGTGTGTGTGTCTGTGTGTGTGTAATTGATTCTGTTCCAGCGTGCGTCTTGTTTGATGAGAACCCCAAAATTTTCAGCACCGCCAAGAAAATATTAGTCAAAAATGAGAGCACCAGTAAACTCTGTTTTTATCATTTCCATCTCCCTCTCTTGCTCCGTCTCTCTTTTCACATGACCTATTTTCCTGTCCTGGAGAGCCATGTGACGGAGGAGGGGAAACTGTTGTTTAATTCCTTTTTCTCTCTCGCCGTCAATTAATGATGCCCTCACACCTGAGACCGGGGGCGACCATGTTAGGCCGGAGCACAGCTGGGGAATCCACACACACACACACACACACACACACACACACACACACACACACACACCTCCACTCTCATACCAATGAGCTCTGCCTGAGCCCAGACCTACAATTCTCACCAACTACAGCAAAAGACTAGAAAGAGCATTTCAGACAGTGAGCATTTTAGACAGTACTTTTTACAGGCAGTACAACACAAGAAGTGAATAAGAAACACACTTAACCCCTTCAGCTCTATGGACCATGCTTCAACTTACCTACATATGTTATTTATATATGTTTTCTTTTCTAGCAACTGTTGCTAAGTTGGACAAGCTTTACAGAACCCTAATAAAATCCTTTTTGACCTAATGAGAAAATGTATGACTCACAATTTTGTGAAAACATTTAGAGTATTTTACAGATTTCAAATGATATTTTGTATGCATATAAAAGTCTTGATGGTTAAGATAGATCAGGTATAGTTTTTGTTGTGTTATCAAGCCGGCGTTAGCATTGGGGAAAATTCATTGTCTTTTCCAATCTGCCTAGTTTCAATTAGCTAGTTTTTTGAAGTCCATATTGATAATGCCGTATTTATTTTTTTACCCAATAATCTCCTCAATTGCCAAGTTATTGCCACATGCTAATTAGGTCTCTGTCACTCTGTGTCTGTCATACACCGTTTTCAAAATCTTTGCTGTAAATATTTACTTGCTACACAAATGCTGAAAACATAGCAACGAGGTGCTTTAGTACATCCTTATTATCTGTCATAAGAAAACCTCCTCAAAATGATTACTTAAAAGGAGAAAGAAAGAACACTCTTAACCTTAATGTATGATAATGTAAAATGTTTTAATTGGTTGTCTTTTTTTTGACATTTACAGAATTTTCTCCCTAGTTAAGTTATTGCCAATTTCATCAACTAGTTAGGTCTGCCCATCACAGAATGCTGTGAAGCTAACTGCTGCATCTTTTTGAAGATGTCACATTACTGGACAGCTCTACATGCTTGGAGGAGAATGCTGAGCAGTCCCACAGAGTATTGGAGAAGGAGGCCATACTACCCCTCAGAGAGAACAAGCCCAATTATACTCTCTTGAACTCCCAGCTACAGATAGCTGTGGCATCAAACTCATGATCTCTTGCCAACAGGGCCAATGCTTACATGGTTGCACCTCTTGGGAGACCAGTAGCTTAGCATTTAAAACTGGAAAATCAACATTATGCAAACTTCAGCCTGAATTTATTCTTTAAATGAGCTTTAAAGATGAATCACTTAAATTAGTGATTAAAGCGTTAAGAAAAGGGGTTAGCGATGGGCAGAGTGAGTTTGTGTTGGGTGGAGGTGAGGCCACGTGGCATAGTGGGGGTGCAGCTGTCTCTGAGAACTGTGAAGCGTTCTGGTCCAGTGAAGCAGAAACGAGCTCACCCCACACACACACACACACACACACACACACTCACACACATGGCAGCCAGGTAGAACTGCCTTCACACACATAAACTACTGCCGACAGAGCCCCGGCAAACCTACAACAGCTGTGTTCATCTGATAGCACAGGTCAGTGACTCATTAACACATTCACACACATGTACACACACACAATGTACCCCCATATAGACATCTGTCCTTAACTTCAACTCCAAAAACTTCTCCATCACAACATTCACTTTAGTCCACAGCCACTTTCAAATCCTTTGCGGAAAAATCCACAGTCAATTATCTTGTCTGTATTTTCGCCTTTTTTCTGAATGTGAAAAAATAAAAAAGCACGAACAGGAGACACACATCACTGCACGTAGAGGCCTCTAGCACACTTAGCTCATCCCGCCACTGGTTTAATTTTCACCACAGAGTGTAGCACTCACAGCAGCAACTCCTAACTCCTCTGTAAACAAACTCCTCTTTCTCCCACACAAATCAAAAGACACTTTTTTCTGTGCCTTTTCTACTGCTGCTGAACACTTTGAACTGCTGCCTTTGATTGGTGGATGCTTTCTGCAAAACGTAGCAGAGAAAGAGAGTGAAAGTCTCAAAGCATGTGTTCAGTGGCCATAAGGGCTTCACTTTGCTACTATAGCTCACTGCTACTTCTGTCTATGTAAGCACGTCTCACTCATAAACAATAAAAAACGGCTCACGTGACTAAATCTGACAGATACTTCAGAGCATTTCAGCTCCATCTGAAGTGGCGGTCCACTAAAGAGAACATCAGCTTTATCTTCTCCACAGACAGATGGAGCTCCTTTATCTTAGAGCATCTGAACATCTAAACATCCACATCCCATGCGGACACCCACGGACACACTACAGTATACCCATAAACACAGCCACAGTCCTGAAAAGCAGTAATGCATCAAATTTACTTGATCAAACATTTGCACGTGAATAAAATATCTCACACCAATACAACTTAGTATTTTAGTTTTCTTACTTTTGGCAATAACTGTGTTGATGTAATATATTTTATTCTATATTACAGTGCTGTGCAAAAGTCAGAGACCACATTTCATTGATTTAATTTACAGTCAAATAATTACAACTTCATTTTCATATATATATATATATATATATATATATATATATATATATATATATATATATATATATATATATGTGTGTGTGTGTGTGTGTGTGTGTGTGTGGGTGTGTGTGTGTGTGTGTGTGTATATCTGTCTATATAACAATTTTGGAAGCTGTGTTTTTCACCCATTTTCATTTGGCTTTCTTCTTTGTTTTGCAAGTGGATTATTTTATATCTAATGTCCTCAGATTATCCTGAAAATGAATAGCTTGTACTTTATAGCAACTGGAAGTTAAATGAATGATGGTGGTCACAGTACTGTATATTACATGTGAAAATGCTGGATATGGTTAAAGCAAGTAAATTCACTGCATTATTATTTTCATGGTCCCAAGCAAGACTGACCAAGCACTACTATTAAAAGAACAGCAGTTATGTCACAAACATATGTTACACACACACCAAGTGTTAATCCACCTCTTACCTGTCTATGATGACGGGGTCGGAGGGTGTTTCGTTACGGTTGCCACAACTCTTCTTGTCACAGCAGCGGCTGAGGAGAGGGAGGGGGACAAGGTGTGTGAGAGAGAGAGAGAGAGAGAGAGAGAGAGAGAGAGAGAGAGAGAGAAAGAGAGAGAGAGTTAACACAGGTACTGCTGTACATATGTCTGGACTGACCTAAAGCCCAGCTGGTAGAGGTAGCAATTAAAGGGCAAGCCTTGTGTCTGTACAATACACACATTTCATTCAACATACTCTCTCCTTACACACTGGCTCATCATTACTGCTAACAGCAGGCTGAAGCATTAAACAGGTGGGAGAAACAAAGTGGATGGGGGGAGAAAGCAAAGGATGAATCTAAGAGTTGAGTCAGGAAGAGACATTTTTTACCTTAATGTGACAAATGGTTTCAGAGTTGTGTGAACACTAAAACCTTATCTTTTTATATCCAATTTGAACTACTATCCTATATTATATATGCTACAGAATATCTCCTAGCTAAAATACACCTGGTCAGATTACGTTTTAGATGATTTTCTAAGTGAAAATAAGTTAACACATCCTCTACAGTGCACAATTTCTTTTTATTTCTATTTTGGAGTGTAAGACATTGGAAAAAATAGAACACAAATTATTATATGTTACATAAATTTGCACAGGCCACATTTATGTTTCATTTTTCTTTCCAGTTTGTTAAATTCAGCAAACAACTAATTAACTAATTGTACATTAAAAGGTATAGAAATGTGTTCTCTGTAGAGGATGTGTACTTACTATCACCTATGATTTTAAAATTACTTGACCAGGGGTCTGATACATGGTCAGTGGCCATGAGACCATAAAGAGAATGTGCCCTACTGATGATTTTGTGGCGTGTTTGGAAACAGACTGTAAAAAGTGGAATAGGCAAGTGTTTTTGAGATTTGGATCTTAATTGAATATTGCTTTTGTTTATCTAAAGCGTAATTTTACTATGCTTTGTTTCAATCACAGCATGTTTGACTTGCATAAAAGCAATTAAACTGCTTGTTACCACATGCAGAATTTTTGATAAAACATTTCTTACGGTGTACTGGAGAATATACAGTGTGAACTCTTAGAAAAAAGTTACTGTACTTTTTTTATTAAAAACACTGTCACTGGCGTGGTGCCGTTAAGGGCACTTTTTCAGCACTTTTAGCCCAGGAGGTAATGAGTGTACTAAATTCCATGGGAATTCTTTGTTTTAAGTGTTTGTTTGTTTATTTATTTATTTATTTAAAGTTTCAAGTCTATCTTTTTAAGGCAAGTTATGAAAATGTACAAAACTGCCCTTACTTAAGGTATACAAATGGACCTCATTTTCATAATTTCGTGAGTACACTTACATTGGTTCCAACTTGGGGGACAAAAACACACCTGCAGTACCATTTTTCATAATCAAAGTCCTTACAGGAAAGTCCGTCCACTTAGCAACACCCCAAGGCAGTAATTTCCTGTCGTACAAGACCAGCATCCGACCTACTTATATGCAGAGAGACCTATAAACCCAAGGTCGACAGCCAAGCTGACATTTCAAAAACATGGTAAAATCTGACAAAATACCTTGTTTGTGGTGTGTTTTCTGGCTGTTTCGGGTAATATGCGTGCACATATCTTCACAAAGAGGATCTTTTTCTACTTTACTAACATGTAATGTAGTGCAGTCAACACAGAATACCCATAATGCACTGTGTCATATGGAATACAGTGTGATTACTGTTGATGAGTGTATGAAATTCACTCAAATCACAAATTCTGTTCTCTATAATGATATCTACAAAACAGTGATTAAGACGTCATTTAAAATGCATTTTTTGGTACATATAGTCATGTGCAATGCCTCCAATTAAATTACTGCATTGTTTTATTTAAAAATAAGTTCTCACATCCTCTGTAGAGAACAAACTTGGTATTATATGTGGCACATTAACAGTAATTGTGCATTAAAATTTGTAACTGTGTGTTCTCTGCAGAAGATGTGCACTTATTTTCACTTAGAAAAACATGCACTGACCAGGGTCGGTCAAACTGTTGTATATGACTGTATCATTGAAGTCATCATCCACAATGGGCAGTGTGTCAGAAGTGGCTAATAACAGCTAGTGATAAAATGAGTGCATCTAGGTTCTTTCAGGGTAGAGTCATGTTCACATTAATGACATATAGCACAAGGGGTCACATACAAACATAAATGTGAACCACCAACACAGATCAGATCTGAGCAACTGGAAAACTGGAATTAAGATCTAAAGCCTTGCAATGTGAACATGGCCTAAGGGACAAATGAGCGCCAGCTATTCAAACAGCCCTAGAGTGAGTATCAATGTATTTGAATGTGATGCTGAAACAGAAACAGAGAGAGAAAGGAGGAAGAGAGAGAGAGAGAGAGAGAGAGAGAGAGAGAGAGAGAGAGAGAGAAGTAATGGGGGAAGAGTGGGGTGAAGGGTCTTTCTGTGTTCTTGGTGGGTGGGGGTTGGCGTGGAGCAGCAGGTGGGGCAGCAAGCTCACGTTTCCCCACACAGATGGCAGAGGGGCCGGAGAGAGAGAGAGGGGCACCAGAGGTGTCATGCGATAGCAGCAGTATTGTGAGTCCCAAACAGTGCATGAGAGAAGGAGTATAGGCCTGATGACTCTGATAATGCAGTCCTGGTCTGACCCGGCCTGGCCTCCAGGACCCCCAACTCTTCCTCAATCACACAGCAAGAGTCCGTGTGTCCCCTGACTCTTGCATGTCAAACAAACGTGCATTATCAAGTGATAATAGTAACAACAGAAAGGACTTTCAGTCCACCTGAGCAAATTATCCTTACTCATTTAAAGTCTAGGCTTATTATTGAGACTTATTATCAATAACTATTATGAATTATTTGGTAAATATTATGTGTTTTGTAGTTATAATGGAGTGTAAGCCTGTATAAGCCCTTAGGGGTTATAGGGTTGAAGTAATTTATCTGGGCATTGAGTGATTCTTCGCTCAACATCTGAATATTAGAATAAATGCAAATAACCATGAATATATAAAATACTTTGATGTCACTGTGTTAACATTTCCAAACCTTTCTAAAAGTATTGCAGTATTCATAATTACCACCCAATATCAAGTTTGGCTAATCAATATTTTAACTTTTTAACAAATCCTCATGATAACCTATTTGAAAACAAGAAATGTTTATTACTTTTTACTACAATAACCCCTTAAACTCTATAGTTAATATTTAGTTATGAATCTGAAGATTTCAGCATTAAGTAACTATCAACTATTCAGTACTAACTACTATAAATTAGGGATGTGCACGGGTACTTGATTACTCAGTTAACTGTTTCAGGTGCCAGTATCCAAAGACTGAAATCACTACTCAGGTATTTGTTATGTTTCATTATATGAAGACAAAGAAAATACACATGAAAAAGGATGTACATGAGAAGGCTGAGATAGCATGGCTTTCTCACTGACTAGGCTATTTACTCTGATGCTGATGTTCGCTAGGTCTAGAAACAGTGTTCACCTATTCTCCAGTTCACAAACTAACATGTTGGCACATCATCAGCTGAGGTAAAAATATCACTTGTAAGAAGATGAGTCCTCATCAGCATCTAGTGTTGTACTCGTTAGCTGTAGTTTTAGCTCATTAGCTCATCCAAGGCACCCTCAATTACTCATGAATTACCTACAGATTTCCCTTGGCAATTTTTGAACAGCACACATTTTTGTGCAACACCAGTGCTGTCACCTAAAAAAGTAAGCCTACAGCCCTAAATAAATTTTTCGCACTGTTTTTTCTTTCCCTGAGATTAACCAATTATCCATTCATTAACCATTATGGGTACTTGAACAGAAAAATTAGTTGAAATGAACATCCTTACCAGATGTATTTGGTATGATGGTTGAGGATACAAAGAGTGGGCCCACATAAGGACCCTAACACCATAATTTAAAATAAAGGTGCCTAAAAGGATTCTTTGCACAATGCCATGGAAGAACCACTTTCGGTTCCCTAAAAAATCTTTCAAAAGTTTTTCAAACGTGGTCCTTTAGGGTTCTTCTACGACACTGTACAAACAACATTGTGTGGCACCTTTATTTTGAGAGTAGCGTTTAAGGGGTTAATGCTTACCTATATTTAGTCTGTTATATATTGTTGTTCCAAGTGAAAGCCCACTCACTAATTTTAAACATTTTTCTTTGTTCAGGCTAAGACTTCTGCACTGTAATCACTGCTGAGGCTGTGCGTGTCTCTTTGGGCCGGTTTAGAGTCATCAGCGGAGCTGGTCCCACTTTGCGTTCTACTGTTACACTTCTCTGACCGCGTTCCCTTGCTCTCTCTTTTCCTCCCTCCGCATCTCCTTCTCTTTCTCTCTCTCTCTCTCCCGTTCTCCTCTGAGTGCACTCATGTATTTAGCGCTGTTCTCTCAGAACTGGGTCACACAGAGGTCCCCCCGGATCACTGAAGCAAAGCATGCTGGGAAAAGAGAGAATGGGGTGGGGAGGAGGTGGGCACAGACTGATGTGACTTTCCACCATCCAAATAATCCAATCATCAGCCAGCACCCATGGGAGCCCAAATCAGCACCACCCCCCCTCCCCACACCCACTCCACCAAAGTATCACGCCGGACACCCGCCTCCACAAAAAAGTATGCTAATTAGTCCACGCATGCTGCAGCTTTGTTTGGGGATTTTTTTCTCCACGCTCCGTCCCAGCGGACCCCCGTGCGCCGTATCTTTAATCTCAAGTGTTTCCTCCTGCTGCGGCATTTGAAGAAATTAAATCTAAATTGCGCCGCATAATTACCAGGATGTGGCCCTCCACTGATGCCATTAAAGCCGAACCACCCCGAAAACCTGCACTCAGATCTATTACTGCACGAGTGCCCTCCACTTGCTCTGCAATGCCTCCCAAAAAAGAAAAAAAAAAAAACAATGGATCTCTCTGATTGTGACCACCAGGCTTGCATGTAGTTCATTGATGGTGCCAAAAAAGCATTCTTTGAAGAAATGCTACAAAAGAACCGCTTTTGGTTCCCTAAAGAACCTTTGAATAGATACCTCTTTAAAGAACCAATTTTGTAAATATAATGTGCGAGTGAGATAAACCTTTTTAAAGTTCAAAGAACCTCTATATAATGTAAAGGTTCTACACCCATGAATGATTTTTCTATGAAAAGTACATCCAAGCTAAGAGCCGTTTAGGAACCTTTATTTTTGAGAGTGTAGGCTAGTCCACACAGATCGTCGCTCTGCAAAAAAGTGAAGCAGATCCCAATGTATGCTCATCAATCAGTCTTCCCATGTGAAGAACGTGGTGCTCTGTCGTAAAGATCGCACTGTTGCTTTTGAGTGATCGTTTCTTGTTTTGCTTGTCAGTGGTGTTGGATGGGAAAAGGCGTTGTGCCTCTGTCCCGCGCCGCGCAGCGCCATATGGCTAATGGCAAACGCGTGCGGCAATTAACAGGCCTGATTAATGAAGAACAGTCTAATCGCAGACTGGTAATTGCACCTCCATTGCGCTGCAGGCTCAGCAGAGGAGGCCGGCAGCAGACGGAGCAGAGGGGGAGAGAGAGACACAGAGAGAGTGAGAGAGAAAGAGAGAGAGAGGAAGAGAGAGAAACATAAGGGGAGGAGGCTGTTTACACATTTTGTCATATTACAACTGTCTCTCTTCCTTTTTGGCCTCTTTAGAGACACTCTTTGGAGTGGAACCCAATAGAGACAAATGAGGAGGCCTGGTGTGTGTTTGTGTGTGTGTGTGTGTGTGTACACGTATGCGTGCCTCCATGCCTCCAACACATGTTTGCTGGACCTTATGGACTGTCCCCTACCTGGACTGTGTTGCGTGCCTCAGATATGTGCTACTTTATATGAAAGTCTGTGATCAAAGCTAGAGACTTTTGAAAAAGCATATGGTATTTTGTCAGCATTACACATTATTGCAAGTTGCCATTCTCAGAGAAAAGAAAAGAAACTAATGACATGTGTATGTGTGTATATGTACAGAGTGCTGTGCAGAAGTCAAAGAACACCCTTCCTTTATTTAATATTCAATCAAAACAGCCATTAACCAGAAGTTATTCATTTGTCAGGAGTTCTAAAAGGTGCAAATAAGAGTTTCTGCAACCACGGACAGAAAATCACTAAAAGGTTCCAAAGACATAAAAGAGCATTTGCAAATCAAACAAAGATGCAGTTGGTGTTGTCAGAACAATGCACTGTCCACCCCAGATTCCACACCTCGACATCATAGAATGTGAGTGGGATTACTAGCACTGTGAGAAGCAGAAAATACAAGTCCTAAACTAAACTGTGAAGACATTTCATTGAAAAAGAACAAAAGCTGTAATAAAAGCAAAAGGTGAACACAGTAAACATAGAAAAATGTGATATTATATTTAGTTGAGGCTTCTGGGCAATTTATGTTAAATATAATGACTGGAAATGAAACAAATGAAGGACGGCCTCTGATTTGTGCATATATATATATATATATATATATATATATAAATAAAACAGACAGACAGAGAGACAGACAGGGGAGAGAAAGAGGGAAAGAGAGTGGGCTCCTCCTTGCCTGCACATATTTCATTGTCAAAACTCAACGCAAACTGCATTCATTAACGGCAGAATAACAAGAAGATTCTTATTGAGTAATGAGTTTTTCCTTGTCCTAATTAACCAAGCATCAGTGGGATATTTTTAGGAGAAAAACTGTTCAAATGCTCCTCTCTTTGGCCCGAAATAGATGAGAGCCCATCTCCACAACCCAGTTTTAAGCGCAAGGAATTCATCTTTTGATTTTAATTAAAGGTGCATGGCTTTCTCTCCCCTCGCTCTCCTCCCAGAGCAGAGAGAGGATGACCTGGATAGAGAGAGAGAGAGAGAGAGAGGAGATACTGCATCTATGGACTTGCCTGTATGAAAGTGTATTCTCCCTCCATTTCTCATCCTCCTTTCTCTCCCCATTCCTCATTCTAGAGGTGACTCGCAAAATGTACTTTTCTCAGGTTTTTTTTCCCCCTCACTGAAAAGAGGTGATGCATTAAATTTACTTGATTCAAGCATGTGCATCATTTCCACATGAATAAAATATATTACATCAACAGAATGTTGTCTTTCAGTTTACTCACTTTAAGGCAATAGCTGTGTTGATGTAATATTTAATATTTTATTCATGTGGAAATAGTCAAGCAAATTCAAGGCATCACTTATTTCATTGCACAACAGGGAAAAAAAAGCATGCCCATCAGTGGAATGCTAAAACAACAGGCCTCCAAAATTAGCTTCTGTAGCTGGCATTTTGTTGTCTTCTTAGATGGAGCTGTGTCTTTGATGAAGAGGAAGTTCTAAATGCTGCCTGGGAAGAGAGGCCTGCCAGATTCTGCTGATAGGAAACAGGCTACCCAGACTTTATCTGGCCATGTTTAAATTCATGATAAATGATTGGAACATCTCGTATGTATCAGAAGTTAAAGGCTACCTCAAAATACACTGTCTCTTGGGAAAGAGGACACAACTTTATATGCCTTATCTCTCTAATAGAGATAAGTAAACTTAAATGTACACTAACTCATGTTGCTGAATAAAAATATAAATCTGCAAAATTGCAGTAGTTTGAGCTTATCTGATGATCTGTAATTGAGTCTAACTAAAGCCCTGCTTATATGAAGGACATGCTGCTTCAGTCTGTGTAGTTTGTTTGGCTCTCCAGCTTTCTCCCACTGAGCAGTGGGTCCAGTGTGTGGCAGTGGAGCCACAGTGCACAGGAGAGGGAGAGAGAGAGAGAGAGAGAGAGAGAGAGAGAGAGAGGGAGGCAGAGAGAGAGAGAAAGAGAGAAAAAGAGAGAGAGTTCCAGCAGCACAGACCAACACTAACACTGGCTCCAGAGTCCCAAGGCAGTGCCAAATGCTCAGGCGAGCCAAAGCAAAGCCCACAGGTTCAAGAGCCTGATTGTGTAATGGTGATGGAGAGAGTGTGAAAGAGAGAGAGGACGTGTCTGAGTGTGTGTGTGGGTGTAAGTGTAGACTACTGTTTAAAAATTTGGAATCACTTTTAATGTTAATAATTCATTAATAATTTACAAAACTGTAGATCGACATATTGCATAGCCTATTAAGTACAAAATGTTTCTTTTCATAAGCATAACAGTTAAGGGAAAACTTTCCTAACCTAGAGTTCAAAAAATGATTAAAAGATACAGAAAAAATAGGATTCCTAACAACTGTGAAAGACCTAGTAGACCACTAAAATGCTCACCATCAGAGGAACAGTTTTTAAAACTTTTATCTTTGAGAGAGAGGAGACAGTAAAGCTCCACTCTTGCTTCAGATCTGATAAAATCCACAGGTGTTTCTGTCTATTCTCTGTAAGGATGTGTAGCTGTCAAGAAAAAGGAAACTGAGAAAAGGAAATCGACAAAAATAAAGGAAATCTGCAAATCGGCCACCCTAGTCCAGATCTCAACATCACTGAACGTGTTTGGGATTACATGGATCGTAGCAGAAAATGCAGCCAACTTCAGACTGAACTTTGGAAGTGAGGAAAAATATCCTTGCAGTTTTCTTTAAAACTGAAAGCAAGTTTCCTAAGTAGAATAGAAGCTGTTATGAATAAAATTAAATTGTACTTGTTTAGTTATTTTTTTCTAACACTGAAAAATGAATAACTTAATAACTTAATAAATAAATGAATGGTGATTTTTACACAGTACTATATACTATGATATGATATTGCACGGTTCATTGTTCAGGATACATCTAAAAGTTTTTTTTTTTTTTTTTACAGCTCTCTACAACTTATTAGAAACGTATGAAGTTGTTCAGTAACAGCATCATATTAAAATCATCTGATATATGTAGCTGCAAGAAAACTGGTTTTATATTTTATTGAAAACAGTAATTCCAAACTTTTGAACAGTGATTTCAAACTTCTCAGTAGTGCAGCTCCCCTCAAAGAAGACAAGTGTGCGTGTGGGTGTATGTCTCACCTGCACATGATCTCATGTGTTAGCAGCACTCGGCACATCTCTGGATTCTTGTCTTGACCTTCATAAATGATAGGCTGAGGGGGAAAAAAGAAAAGAAAGAAGAAAATGTTGTTTAGGGAGTTTGGACAAATAAGACGCAGTGCTAGAGAGTATGCAGGAAGGTCCATGACTAAGTCTTGGGGTTAAAAAAAACTCACAATGGGAAGAAATGGAACTGCACTGGCACCGTTTACCCCCAAACCAAAACATTACATGAAACATCACACGGAGCACAAAACCGCATCTCTCCACGCTCTCTTTCTCTCTCTCACACCCACGCGCACGCTCTCATACACTGGGCTTACTCTTCGGAGCTTAATGTGAACCTTATTCCATCTGGCAGAAGGCTTTTGCAGAATGACCACACGTGTCATGGGAATGATCCGGAGTGTTCCAGCACCGCTGGCCCGGGACACTGTGTTCTGCCTACTCTCCATACACGCCGCAGCACAGAATTACAGAGACCTTGCTTTATTACAGCCAATCAATCAATCACAGTAGGCTGGTGCACTGTGGGAAGGCCCGAGCTATGTAACTGGACGCAGGGTGGTCCATTCCTGGCCATGCCAGGCTCCAAGTGGCCCATTTAATGCCCACTTTACCATGGTTATGAAAAACCCCTTCAGACTGAGATGGGCTAGAGTGACTGTAATGACCATGCTTCTAGCCAGCGTCTATAACTTCACATATTTCAAATGATTTGTAGGAAGTTGTAAACATTTAAAAAGTTTTAAATATATCCAGAAATTATGAACAGATCATAAAAACTGAGCTCAAAACTGAATTAAGATCGATAATGAACTATTCAGAATGCCTCATATTTCAAAAGAAATAACTTTAAAAAAATGTATAAATATATAATTACAGTATATTATTTATCATTATTTAACATGTTGTTTCTAATGTAATTAAATAAACAAGTTAAGCCAAAATTAAGCCTTAATTGTATTTCTACCATTATTGTATATCTTCTCAAAATTATTAATATGACAAGTGATTCCAAACTCTTAAACAGTAGCATACATAACTTGTATTTTAGTTTCATAGTAATTACCAAATCATTTGCACTATTTATGTAATAAATATTAAGGTTAATAACTAAATAATAAACCTGCAGTATAAGGAGTTTAACCTTTAAAGGAGAACTCCAGTGTTTTCTATCTACATATAGCCAATTACCACTATAATTGTGACACATTCCCCTGCACTAAGTAAAAGAACAGAAAAACCATCGACTCAAAACATATTTAAGCTAATATGCACTCAAACACCTTCCCATTGGCTTCTATTATGAATTTGCTTTGAGTCAACAGGTTTTCTATACTTTTACTAAGCACAGATAAATGACTGTCAGTGGTAATCAATCATTTGCTACAGTTGTGGCAGACAGATGGAAAAGACTGGCCTACTCCTTTGACCAGTATGAATTCATGTTGTCCTATAGATACTAATTAATCCACCGCATGGTACCAGTCCATGCCAGAGGGAGTTTAAATAATTTTCAGAAGAACATATTTGAGACACAAGTTGTTGGCAATATCTCATCACGCCGTTCTCATTAAGTCCAATTAAAAGCAAGCTTTGAAAGTCCAAAGTGCTTGGCGCTTGGTGCAGATTGCTGTCTTACTGCGTCATGGCGGAGCAGCTTGTGTCATAGCAGCCACCCTACACAGGCATCTGGGAAGAGTTTCAGCTTGACAGGAAAATACACTGGAATATTGTCTAATAATTTTGCCACACAGAGGATGTTGTTCTGTTTCGCCCCAAAAAATGTGTACCACACCCTGCTCTCAATGTCATGATTCACTGAGAGAGAGGCGGGGGGGGGGAGATAGAAATACATTAAACAGAAAGTCAACACCTTTTCTGTTATTGTGTGAGTGTACAAACCTGTACATCAGTGTAAGTATGAAAGATTAATCGTTCTTATATTTAACCCTCAATTTAAATTAGTGTAATTATCAAATTACAAGAACAATATTGTCTTAAGTTTTAAGTGTGGAAATTTCCCAACTTAAATGGTCAGGGCCCAATAGCCCAGTTTTATTACACTCTTCCATAACCTAAGAACAGCTGATCCAGTTTGTATTGAAGTCCCTGTAGTTACTCATAGTCTGTAATAAGCCTGGGATTTTAAGGGATTAACCTAAAAACATGAAGCCAGTGAACCACCTGTACATAAGATAGACCAATCAGAAGCAACCAAACCAGTTACAAGACAACACAATCACAACTAACCAGCAGCCTTGCATGCTAAGTTTAGCGTTCAAGCCTTAAACCATCATCATGCTGGTCTTCTTGGTCAAAAAAGGCCTCATTTTATAGAAAGTAATCGCAATTTAAATTGCAGTTGCATTACTGGCAGTTACGTATTTTGCCCAAATTGTTCAGCCCTACATTGGTGACTCTGACAACATATATTGCCTAATGTATCATCTTAAAGGGGAATTCCACCCATTTTCAAAGTTCTGCACTATTAAATCATAAGGATATAAACAGTCATTCAGAGTGGTTTAATGTGAAGTGCTCCATTCTGAAGAAACCTACAGTCAGAACTGTTCACAGTGATGCCAATAGAAACCAGACATTTAATAAAAGTTTAATGTTTCTAAAACCACCCTCACAGAAAGTTATTACATGAAATTGTTATGAGTACACTGCACAAGGCATTGTTTTCCAATTATAAAAAACATATTTTTATCGCTATTTAACTATTATGAACATTACATATGAAAACCCTGAAGACGTGTAGGATCACTAGTCATTTTGGATTGTAAAACGGCTATGTTTGTGTTGTAGACATAGCAAAACCACTGTAAAAAAATCAGAGTCGGTACATTTCTATACAAAATGCTATCTCTAAATGGCTTTGTTTACATCGCGATGATTGAATTATGCAGAAATTTTGAAATATTGGTGGAATTCTCCTGTAAGTGAATTTGTATAAATTCCCCTACTGTGAAATCGCTCACTGAAAGAAATGGTGGAATGCAAAGTGTGTGTGTATATGTTTACAAGCTTGTATGTAAGTGTTAGTGTTTGCGTGTGTGTGTGTGTGTGTGTGTGTGTGTGTGTGTGTGTGTGTGTGTGTGTGTGGTGAGCAGTTGGACTGCCAGACTGGAGCATAGCGAACCATCTGGCCAAGTCAACACTTCATCCAAAAAAACCTCAGCTTTGTTTCCACCCTCATTCCACACACCATGTCCTCCACAGCCGTGAATCACTTACTCTAGGCCAAACATACACACACACAAACACACACACACACACACACTGCAGCCTATTACAGCATCTACATACACACCGAGAACAACTGACAGCCGTTAACTAGAAACGGTCCCCGTCACAAGTGCACAAGCCTTTTTCAATTACCCATAAACGCTTGTTTGAAAAAAGAAAAAAAAAAAACGGCTGCAAATTCTGTGATCTTCACTCTAAAACAGGCTTCATTCGTGAAACTTTTTTCTACATAGCACTGCTACGGCTGGAGGACAGTGGTGATCAGCAGCGTGTGTTTGTTTGGATTCCCTCATTGTGGAAATAAGGGTCAAGGTCCTCTAAAAGTGTGCAAGCATGCATCACTGTCTGAGCCCACAGCTCCGACCCCAGGCTGAGAGAGAGAGAAAAAGAGAGACAGAGAGAAAGAGAATGACAAATAAAGAGAAAAAGAGAGTGTGAGAAAGTGAGAGAGAAAAAAAACAGTGTGATAGAGTTAGAAGAGAGGTAGAGGAAGAGAGGAAAAAGAGATAGACTGAGGGGGATGTAGGGAAATAGGCAGGGGATGGAAAAGAGAAAAGACTGAAAGTGAAAGAGAGTGACACTGAGATAGAGAGTGAAAAAGTTATAGTGAGATAAAAAGAAAGAAAGAAGGATAGAGACAGCAAGAGAGAGAGAGAGAGAGATTGAGAGAGACAGAGAAAATGAGAGGAAAGAGTAAAGAAAAGACAGGAGAGCATGTCAAATAGAGAAACCGGAAAAGACAGAGAATGAAAGAGAGAAAAAAGTGAGGAGGGTAAGAGAGATAAGAGAGTGAGACAATAGAATGGAAAAGAGAAAGAGTGAGGGGAGGTAAGAAACGAGGGACAGAGTGAAAAAGAAAGAAAGGAGAGCGAATGAGACAGAAAGAGTGACAGAAAGAGAGAGAGAGAGAGAGAGAGAGAGAGAGAGAGAAAGCAGGGCCACACAGAAATGTCCTCTACTCTGCCAAACAGTCATTTCAATTGTAAGGTCCTCCATTTATCACACAAACTGCATCCAATGGCCTCTGAGTAATACCAGGCAGTGCAGATAGTACTCCACTGAAACAGCTCCCAAAATAGTTCTGCAGTTTTTCCTCTGAGGTCCAGCACAGGCCACCAAAACAATGGCTGGACAACCTTCTGCAGGTGCATGCGAGTGTGCAGAGAGCTTCATGGACAGACGGCTTCTCGTTCACCTCACTGACAGCATCACTAACACTTTGTCTCACCAACACAATGCAGCAGCATCAAAATGATCTGTGTAATTGTTCATAATTAGTTAAGCTTTAAGGTCGGCCCAAATAGAAATCAATAGAAAAATAACCACACAATACACACAAACATTGTAATGTGAATCATATTGGTGAATAGATTATCTCTGCCTCCCTTGGTAAAACTTTCGGAGTAGTTATTGGAGCACTGAGCATTTACAGAAGTATTCAAAAGGCTCATTTCCTACATTTGTCTTGTATTATTTTCCCTGAAGTCCACTTATAGTGTTTGTGTATGTTTTATGAACCAAAAGCAGGTGTAAGTCATTTTTACATGATCGTTTTCCGAACTATCTTTATCTCTTACAATTAAACAGGCAGGTTTTGTTACTGTGCCTTAAGGACTGATATAAGTAAATGAACTCCTATTCAATAAGCAGTCCAGGCTGAAACATTCTATATGAAACCCTGAAGACATGTAGGATGACTAGTCATTTTGGATTGTAAAACGGCTATGTTTGTATTGTAGACATAACACCCACTGTACCACTGTACAAAGTCGGTACATTTCTATACAAAATGCTA